ATTTGTTTGGGTAAGGGCTGTGTGTGTGCAAGTGCTGAGTGTGTGGAGTGTGTGTGTGGTGTGTGGTGTGTGGTGTGTGGTGTGAGTGTGAGTGCTGAGTGCTGAGTGCTGAGTGCTGAGTGCTGAGTGCTGAGTGTGGTGTGTGAGTGTGGTGTGTGGTGTGTGGTGTGTGGTGTGTGGTGTGTGATGTGTGATGTGTGGTGTGTGGTGTGTGGTGTGTGGTGTGTGGTGTGAGTGTGAGTGTTGAGTGTTGAGTGCTGAGTGCTGAGTGTGGTGTGTGGTGTGTGAGTGTGGTGTGTGAGTGCGGTGTGTGAGTGCAGTGTGGTGTGTGGTGTGTGCTGTGTGCTGTGTGTGTGTGTGTGTGTATGCATCCCTGGAAAGTAATTGCCCATGGGTTGGGTTGGGGGGTTGGGTTGGTGGTTGGGGGTTTGGGTTGGTGGTTGGGTCGGGTAGGGGGTTGGGAAGTTGGGTATGGGGCTGTGGTGTGGTGGGAACGTATCTCTTTAATAATGCCATATGGAGCAGAGCAGGACAGCCCCTGCAGCGACCAATGTGGAGTAAGGACAGGGAGCAAGTGCAGAACACATGGCTAGCTGTCTCTGATAACATTGATTTCCCTGGGTAGCATGTAACACTATGATGGCAACTTAATAACATCGATTTCCCTGGGTAGCATGTATATATGCAATCCTGCTTCCATTTTTATCAGTCACCTGCCAAGACTTTAACCCACATACATGTGGAGGAGTGTCCATGCACCCTCCCTCTACCTGACATCTAGGGCTCCTAGCAGATCAGACCCATATTGGCCTACTGTACTAGCACGACCAACAACCTCTTCCCATGGCCTCCAGGAGTTACTGGAGCCATAAATCAATTCAATTTTGTTGATTTTCAATTCAATCCAAGACCTTCACGTGACACGTGACAGGTTGTTGATCGTGCCAGTACAGTATCTTTGTGGGCCAATCTGAATGTCAGGGACATAGCATATGACTACATATATCACTGCATGTAGCTGCATCAGCCCATAACTCTCTCACCCCTTTCCCTGATCTGACTCCACCCCTTGATCTGAGTATCTCCCTGTTTGTTGCCTACCTCATCATTTAGTTCTGTTGATCCTTTTTCTTCCAATTGATTCATATCTCTCATGTATATAGCCCTATGTGTTGCTGAGGGTTGGAACCTCAGCTTTGTCTATGACTAGGTTTTTGGGTGATACTTGACTTGGACTGACAAGCAATCCCTGACACTGAATGCACATTTCAATCTGTGGGTATGGCTCAGATTCTTGGATTGGGTATGGAGTTTATTTACTGCAACAAATAGATCATTGCCTGAACTAAACACTTTGCATACAAATGAAGATGGCATATATTTGAAATTGCAGTACGGTTTGTTAGAGGGTTCCTCCCAAACTGGATGGCCAAGCTTGCAGCGCAGCGCCGAAGGCGCTGCAAGCTCGGCCATCCAGTTTGAGGGGAACCCTCATAACAATTGTAGCCTGGTTCACCCCGGTGATTCTCCAGCCCAATTGCGGAGTTCGTCTCTGCGTTCATGTATCTTGCTTCTCGGTGCTTGAATTATGTATCCCTTTCCCTGTCCCGCGATGCCCAAAGCTCTTCGAACACGATTCGTGGTCCCAGTCAAATGTCAAACATCACCGTCGGATTCGTCAAACAGGCTATGATTGTCATTGTCGATCGCGCTTCACACTGTTTTTTTTAGTCGCCCATCGGGTAGAACGTCAGTGGCGTAATGCTTCGCTACTAGCTCATGCATCCTCGAGTGCTATCTTTCTGCAGCTTTCGACACGTCTTTCCCAAGGTGGCTATCTCCGAGTACGCTGAAGTGGAAACCCGGGGCTGTTTAGTCGCACTGTTGAATTGAAGAATCAAGAAAAGGAAATTATGAGAGTATGCTGATTATGCAAATTAAAGCAGCCCCAAAAGTGAGAAGAAGTGGGCGTCAGCCGACCCTCGCTAGTTATTACTCATCTATAGGTCACTACTCAGGGCGACGGTTCCCATCTAGCAGAATCCCTGGTGCTAGTCAAGTTGTCCTACATATGGCTGGGACGGTATTCGGACGACGTGAGGGTAGACTGCTAAGGAAGAACGTAAATTGCCTGGTATAAATGACTCTATATACATATATGTTTCCAAGCTGACTTTCCAACACTTATGCCGTTCGGGAGGATATTCGATTGAATCGAGCGCTGAGGGGTGTGACCCAACCCAAACATTATTAATGTGGACCCACACGGTACCTAGCAAATTGTTCCTTGTGAAAAGCCGGGGTGTAATTCTCCTTGATCGCTTGGGAAACGTTCATCCTGGAGTGGCTTTGGTAGTTCTGAAAGGGCTATCTTTCTGTCGAACTGCGTTTTGCACTAAATTGGCGCCGCTTCCGTCTTATTGACGTAAAGTCTTAAATATAATGCCACTCCACCCGGACCAACGTGCGCAATCTTCTGTGGAAGAATGCAGTCCTGGTCGATTGACTGCAACCAGGAGACAGGCTTCAGAATGCTATCAGACAAGGTGGGGCAAGTTGGTGGGTATTCCAAGAGCATACTATTTCCGCGAGTGAGTGCGACGAATGTGGGTTGAAATGTGCTCACAAATAGGCCAACGCGAACCGCAAACGCCTTCTCATTCCCTCGAGAGGCGCTTCCCCTGAATCCGGGTTAATGCTGGTGACGTAGAGCGAGCAACAACACTACGTGACCCATAGTCATGGCTGACGTGTATGCAGAGAACCATCGTGAGTCGGGTGGAAGTACGTCACGGAGGTCAGCAATCTCGGCAAAATACTCTTCTTCAGGTAAAGAAGCACTTGAAGCCATATGGGTCAAATTGTTGATGACGCAAGCACATTGGGTATCAAGTCTGTATCGAGTGGCATCACTGGCTAGCGTCTCTCTCACTAGTATTCCAGGTAGTTTCACATGCTTCTTGTGTATCCAACGATCGGACGAGACGCCGATCGCAATCAATCCACCTTGTGTCAAACCGCTTGGCTCGCTGATATGCTATCCATTGGTGGTCACTTGATGACAGTTTCGAGGTGGACCGTTGTGAATCTTCCCCCCTCGCGCCGGCCGTACTTGGAAGAACGCCAGCGACTCTTACATGAAGGAATCCACGGGTGCGCAGTGCGTGGGAGTGCGGATATCCCGTCATAAACACCATAGCGTACATGAGGGGATCGTCTCTACATGAAAGGAGTGTATCGTCAGGTGTAAGTGGTCCTGGGGTTTGCGGGTATTGTCGTTGTATTGATGTAAAAGTGATAAAAAATAGATAGTGGGACTGCTCTTGTCCACTTCGACCGCTTTCGTCTACTCCTCGGTCGTTCTGCATCTCCATCTCAGTTATCCGGGGTTGGTGCTCCTCGTGTCCTGTGTCGGGTCTGCATCTGTTGCCTGTCTTGGACTTCTTGATGAAGGTTGCGGGTTTCGCGATGCAGAGAATCATTCTGAAAACGTTTACATCAAATCAATTGATCATCATATTTGAACGCGTATGACACACCGGAGCGCGGTTACTGCCATTATGGAGAGTATATCTGGGAAGGGAGCACTCAGGAAAGTGGAGGAGGGCAGCAAGAATGAACCCGTAGGACGAACACGGTGAGGAAGTATCCTCCGGCGAGCGAACTACGAGTGGCTAGGCCAACATCCTTCCCAACTCATCGTGCAATTTCTTCTTGTTCACTGGACCAGCCGGCGCTGCTCACATGATCCTGGATTGTGGCGTGCCGCAGCGGTGTGTGGCGTGCTGTTTAGATGGGTTTAATTGCACGGATCACAAACGCCAGAATGGTCATTTCGGCCACTGGATAATCCGGAAAAATCGGGACTGGGTGTTCCAAATCTGTGAAGTAAAGGGATTACGCAAGAACAACCGAGATTCGCCTTCGCTTAATTTCCTCCGACGCCGATAAAGCTGTGGTATCAGTTACATGTTAGTAATCGACAATCTTTTCGTACGAGTATCCCGAGTTCTACGTAACAACATAGTGTAAAGAAATGATGGGGGGTAACTTGTGTGCGTGAGTTAGGAGATGAGGGAGTACTGAAAGTGAGGAAGGGTCAAGGGTGGAAGACGAAATGATGTCATGGCACCACATTGCCAGGCTAATGCATGTCCAAATCGAGTCGAACACTATTCAAGCGGCGGAATTCGGCTACTCGGCAAGAAGAGAATCTTTGCCAAATTTGGAGAGTGGTTAAGGATAGACGAGGGTGCGCAAAGTGGGGTTCCATGTGAACATGGCTTGCAACAATCATCCTGCCTCTCATGGAAAATGGAAGATGCAATGTGCGAGAGAAAGCGAAAAAAGCTTCAATCCATCATGAAGCAGGACATCTGTTAGATTGAAAGCGGGGTGTACGTGATATCATCCATTTCGCCACTGCGAAAACAAGCTGGATCTACGGTCAAGAACAAGAACCGGAGGAATTCATTAGCGACAACAAATGATACAAAAGGTACAAACACTTGTTGTATCAGCGGCTTGGGTCAAGCTAGAAGACCAACCAAACCACCACCATGAACCCTACACAAGACCGAACCAAAACTTACCGAGGATAAATGCTCAACCTCGCCCTGCTCACCTACGAAAAATCCCACAAAAACAATGGCTGCCCTGCTCATATCCTCTCGCCCATAGCACTGCAGAACGGCTCCCTTAAACCCCTCACACCCGCTCGCTCGCATCCCCATTCACCCTCCTGCCCTCCACACTCCAACTCTGCCACCCTCTCGCACCACTCGCATTCCCACCGTGTCCCTCCACTACAGCCATCACCTCGGATTCGCCGATGCGGTCCTGAGTAGGATCCTCTGCCAATGGTTGACCCTATTCCGATTAGGCCATGATGGAGGTGATGGATTCAAAACAGTGATCTACTGTTCACACTTAGGACGTTGACCGTCCATGTTGACATGATGAAGTGGTGAGAGATGTGAGGAAGGGAAGGGGAAAATCATTATTTTATCAATAGTTTGCAATTAAAGAAATTGAGCTAGATTTATTGGTGTTCTCCAGTCAAATATCCAATTCGAGCTTGCCCATCATGTGCGAACAGCAATGTGGAGAATGCAATGTTGAGGAATCAAGTGTGGACCATTTATGCCTCGGAATGATGTCCGAGACTGGCAAGAGCATTGCGTAGTTTCTCGAGTGAGTTGGCCAAATTTGGGGTGTATGCTCCTGGGTTAACGGCAACTAGCTGGTGCCAGAGCTTGACACTTTCTTCAATGAATGGGAGCCCCTCCAAGTGCTGTCCGAGATCTGAAAGAGCATTGTATAGATTGTTGAGTGACATGGCCAAATCTGGGGTGTATGCTCCTGGGTTAATGGCAACTAGCTGTTGACAGAGTTTGACACTTTCTTTGATGAATGGGAGTGCCTCTGAGTGCCGTCCAAGATCTGAAAGAGCATTATAAAGATTGTTGAGTGACATGGCCAAATGCGGGGTGTATGATCCTGGGTTAATGGCAACTAGCTGGTGATAGAGTTTGACACTTTCTTCAATGAATGGGAGTGCCTCCGAGTGCTGTCCAAGATTGGAAAGAGCTTTATATAGATTGTTGAGTGACCTGGCCAAATCTGGGGTGTATGATCCTGGGTTGACAGCAACTAGCTGGCGCCGAATTTTGACACATTCTTCAATGGATAGGAGCGCCTCCGAGTGCTGTCCGAGTTTGGAAAGAGCACTATATAGATTGTTGAGTGACATGGCCAAATTCAGGGTGTATGATCCTGGGTTAATGGCAACTAGCTGGCGGTGGAGTTTGATGCTTTCTTCAATGAATGGGAGTGCCTCCAAGGGCCGTTGGAGATTGAAAAGAGCATAACATAGATTGTTGAGTGACATGGCCAAATCCGGGGTGTATGATCCTGGGTTAACAGCAACTAGCTGGCGACAGAGTTTGACACTTTCTTCAATGAATGGGAGTGCCTCTGAGTGCTGTCCAAGATTGGAAAGAGCACCATATAGATTGTTGAGTGAGATGACCAAAGCCAGGGTGTATGATCCTGGGTCATTGGCAACTAGCTGGCGGTGGAGTTTGACACATTCTTCAATGAATGGGAGTGCCTCTGAGTGCCGTCCGAGATTGGAAAGAGCATTACATAGATTGTTGAGTGACCTGACCAAATCTGGGGTGTATGATCCAGGGTTAATGGCAACTAGCTGGCGACAGAGTTTGACACTTTCTTCAATGAATGGGAGTGCCTCTGAGTGCCGTCCAAGATTGGAAAGAGCAATACATAGAGTGCTGAGTGAGGTGGCCAAAGCTGGGGTGTATGATCCTGGGTTAATGGCAACTAGCTGGTGGTGGAGTTTGACACTTTCTTCAATGAATGGGAGCGCCTCTGAGTGTTGTCCAAGACTGGAAAGAGCATTACGTAGATTGTTGAGTGACATGGCCAAAGCTGGGGTGTATAATTCTGGGTTAACAGCAACTAGCTGGCGATGGAGTCTGACACTTTCTTCGATGAATGGGAGTGCCTCCGAGTGCCGTCTGAGTCTCTGAAGAGTGACATACAGAATGTTGAGTGACTCAGCTAAATGTGGGGTGTAGGAACTTGAGTCCACAGAAAAAAGGTAACGGCAGAGTGCAACAGAATCACTTGCTGCCTCATATGCCTCCTGGAATCTTGAAAAAAACTTCAGGTTCCACGGAAGCTTGGTAAGCACATTAACCAGTGTGCTAACAGTCCTGTGGTCAACAGCCAACTGGAAGATCATGAGCTAGTTTCTTTAACACAATCCATAACCCATACCTTAGCCCACTCAGGGAGTAACGAGATACTGACATAGTTCTCCATTCTCACACAAACTTCCACCCACCGAGTTGCTTCCTGACTCAGAAACATACTAACTGGCCCAGCAAGCTCCTCAGACTGCCCCTGGACTCCACTAAGGTGATGGATGATGTGGCGACATGCATAACGAAAGTGCTCAGATAGCTCCTTTGGAGGAATGTGTGGCATTTCATCTTTTTCGGACAAGTTTTCAATCAGTCCTAAGCCCTTCACAGAGCAGAGATCCTTGTTCAAAATCTCAGTACATCGCAGGGCAACCCTGGCATTCTCCACCCCCACAGCTACAGGAGTGCAACGAGAGCTGATTGTTCGGGGATTGATCCGATCAAGAATAAAATCATGGAAAGATTGGTGTAAGATGTGAACCGGAATGTGGGAATCCTCAACTCCTGAGAGCAGAGGAGCAAGTTCAGCCAATGCATATTGAACAGAAGAATTGAGGAAAGGTGATAAAATTACGTCCCAGGCTGTGATAGACAGAGGCTGCTGAGCAACGAAGATTGCTCCCATCACGATTGGATAATCATGCGCAAATTCTTCATCCTCCCAAGCGCACTTCTTCAAACTGCTGGTATACAAGTCATCCATCATCTTCTCAGCAGGGACCTCTGGTCGTTTGGCACCAATGTCGAGCAGAGTTTCTAGTGTCCCCATAGGATCCTTGTTGGCCATCTTCATGTAGCGAAAGATGGTGCTGATCCAGATAAACAAGCCATTTGCTCGTTCAGAGATTTCCTGTACCATCTTATCCTCGTCCTGAAGATTACGCCGTAAATCCCGATGTACCTTCTTCAGCTTTTGCAGCTGGAAGTGTATGTATATAGCACAGTCCTGCACATTTGCCTCATCCGAGAGATCAATGCGGAGACGATCAATAGGGTAATCGGGGGAGAGGTAGCGATTCACGAGATCGAATTGTCTCGATGTGATGAAGAATTTGACAGAAGACGGTAGCCTGGGCACTTCGTCCCCAAGAATTTCGGCAAGGGATTCGAACACTTCTTTGTCACATTCATCCAAAGTGTCGATGATGACCACCATAGGACGATCGGAAGGCGGAGGTTTATGAAGCAGGGGCGAAGCCACTAATTTCTTGAACTGCATCGTGAATGGAGCTGTTGAGAGGGTGGGGTCTTTTCGAAGGGCAGAGATAATGAAGGCACGGTAATCTGCGTCACGCTTTGCTAGAGCTTGAGCAATGCCGCTGAATAAACAGTCCGGCCGTGGCTGTTCGCCAACTGTGAAGAAAAAGCACAGCAACAAGATAGCCTCCCTGTTACATCTATCTGCAATCGTGTGCACAATCGAAGTTTTGCCAGCGCCAGCAACTGAGGTCAGTAGCATCAGCCGGTTCTCGTTATCTCCGGTGTTACGACACCAGTTCATAATACGCTCCGTGAGATCGACCCTGGTACCTTCCAGGCATGCCTCTGTTGAATCATGGTGGGCGATCTGAGGATATCGGAGATTATCGAGGGTTGGGTCACTCTCCAGGCGGTCTAAGGTGTCCTCCATGGTCGATAATTTGACGCCAATCGCACCTTCCAGATGGTCCAGGCTGTCCTCTATGGTTGACACTTTAGCGTCAATCGCACCCTCCAGCCGGTCTAAGCTGTCCTTTATAGTCGATAATTCGACACCAATTGTTAAATTCGTCCTAAACTGCACCGTCCGAAGATCAGAATGATTAGGGAACAATGCCATGAGGAAAGCTACCTGAAACGATGCCAGCGCTTTGTCAAAATCCTTCTTCAGGCCCTCGAATTTTCCAGGGTCTCGATAGTGAGACAGTGCATTTCTTACACCTGACCGTTCCTCTAGTTCTCTGAGTCTTTGTTTGATGTTGGACTGGATGCCTTGTAGCGCGCTGGTACTGGACGTAAGTATGGTATCGGAAACTACCAAAACCAATACAACGTACCTCCCAAGCTCCGCGACACCCTCCACCCATGACCCTGCCTCCCCCGCTGACACATCATAAGACTTTATGGCTGAAACTACCTTGGCCATAGTGCTAGCTACGTATTCACCAAAATCAGCCCATTCCTTCTTGTTCTCCTTGAACTTCTACGTGGCACACTAGCGTGAGCTTTCATTCGTAATCAAGCTGGAATCACCAACTTTAACCTCGTCGAAGATGGAGAGTGCACCGCCAGTCGCCATCTTTAGAGGGGGACACCAATCAGCGGTAGCATTGACGACCCTGAGAATTGGAACCGCCATGTCAACTCCCACCACGAGGAGATTATCGATCGTTTTCCTGAGATCTTCAGCCTTTTCCCGCAGCGACATGGTTGATAGCGGACGAGTGGATGGAGGAGAGAGAGCTTGAGCGCGCAACGCACGTGCAAGCCCCTAAAGGCCCAAAAGCTAGGCGTCCGTCTGATTATGGAAGAATATGATATATGTATTGACTATTTGGTCGATCCAGTGCTATCAGTGGCGAATTCTAGCGGTGGCATGACCCGGACTAGCTAGGCAATTGGTGCGGATGATGACATTACTGTAAGTCTACTGCACGAGAGCCAGTATTATAGCGCTGACTGGAACTGGAAGCAGGATGAATGTGATTAGGACTGTGGGGCGTCATACCGAGGCACTGGTCACGGCGGTCGCTTCGTACAGAGAGCCGGCGGTAAGCGGTGCCAGGGCACGCGTTCGCGACGTATGTGCGTCAGTGGAGCATTCCATCTGGGTCCAAGAGCGCAGCCATGAGCTTTCACATAAGCCATGTTAGTAGGATGCCAGTAAGTGGCCGGGCGCTGGCATTGTGCACGTTGATTAAAAAAACGGGCCCTGGACAAGTATACAGGCCTTTTTGTTCAAGTCCGGCTAAAATCGTTCTCCGCAACCAATTTCCTTTCCCTTTTGGTTAGGGGCCAACGTTCTAGATAGCGCCTTATAAGGTCCACAGCATCACAGCAGTAGTGACGGTTCGTACATGTCCCACGGTCACTGGTTCCAGGCTCGTGGAGCTGTAAGCGTCAACTTGAACACCACCGCGGGCGCACGGCGTCCCACACCCGTGCACTAGTTAATTATAATTGGCACCTGGAAAGTAGCTCGGGACTCCAAAGCCTGATTCGCGGCGTTCCCTATCCAGCACAGTATGTGGCCGCACTGGACCTGAATTCACACTCAGCTCTCGACTTGATGCATGTAAAACCGACAAAGGACTGTTATCGATACACAATGATCGCCAAGCCAGTTGTAAAGAAAGATGGCACCCAACGGTTAGCGCCAGCACCATCATCTCCTAAACGCGGGACAGAACCAAGGAAAGATAATGAAACGTGTGAAGCTCACGACTGCAACGCTTGAAAAAATGAAAATGGAAAAATGAAGATTGTCTATTGGTGGACAACCCGGTAATGAGCAAGAGTTAATATGAGGTAGTGGTGTTGGACGACATGCATGCCACGACGCGCCGGTATATATACGCCCATTACGTTACAGTATACCATTTCTACCATGTCTTTATCTCCACGCAACGCTACAGTGTTTCACGTATAGCAGCGCGTACCATGTCTCGTTCACTATTCCCTTCTCTGGTATTTCGTTATTACCTTGGCTACTTATACTGCCGCGCGGTTACATGTTATCAATCAATCTTCCCCCTTCGTACGAGCATCATGAGTGCTACGTAACGAGAAGGTACGTAGTGCGTGAGCCCATAGTAGGAGATGAGAGTACTGAAAAGGAAGGGCCAAGAGTGGATGAAATGATGTCATAAGCACCGCTACATAACGCATATCCGAATCGAGTCGAACATCATTCAAGTGGCGGAATCCGGCTATTCGGCAAGAAAAGAGACTTTGTCAAATTTGGAGACTGGTTATTTACATAAGGGTAGACGGCAAAGTGGGGATCCATGTGAATATGGCCTGCAATGAGCAGCGCAATGCCTACTTCCAGGCACCACCCACAAGAAGACGCTCCTAACTCTCAGTAGGATTCGGACGTCGACAGCGTTAGAAGGTAATAATACAATGATGTCCGAAGGCGCGCAATGTGGCCCTGATTGATCCTACCATCAATTATGGTGAGTAGGTGATGTGGCCCAACAGTACGGTGATAGCATTGGAATCTGGACTTGATACCGACAGAGATCGGTACAGTGCTGAATAGGAACGTATCGAGAGAGGTTGTGGCTGAGAAGGACACTGAGCGCTGTTGAACAATCAGCCTAATTCGGCACATCGACTCGATGATCCCAACGTTTCAAGTTCGAGCCGGAGTAGGAAAACTCAACCTATATAGCCAGGACATCAAGGCTTCCAGAGTTCCATCGCGCATACAGTATGAGCCGCCGCGATTGGTCCGTTCGGGATGCAGTGTTGCGTTTAGTTTAGGCCTGATGGCCAGCGTACCTTTAATAAGAAATTACAATTGGTTAGAGTACCACACTCGGAGAACCACGTCATCACTTTGAGCGATCTCCTCTCCGTTGTACGCAATGATATCTAACCAGGCTACAATTGTTATGAGGGTTCCCCTCAAACTGGATGGCCGAGCTTGCAGCGCCTTCGGCGCTGCGCTGCAAGCTTGGCCATCCAGTTTGGGAGGAACCCTCTAACAAACCGTACTGCAATTTCAAATATATGCCATCTTCATTTGTATGCAAAGTGTTTAGTTCAGGCAATGATCTATTTGTTGCAGTAAATAAACTCCATACCCAATCCAAGAATCTGAGCCATACCCACAGATTGAAATGTGCATTCAGTGTCAGGGATTGCTTGTCAGTCCAAGTCAAGTATCACCCAAAAACCTAGTCATAGACAAAGCTGAGGTTCCAACCCTCAGCAACACATAGGGCTATATACATGAGAGATATGAATCAATTGGAAGAAAAAGGATCAACAGAACTAAATGATGAGGTAGGCAACAAACAGGGAGATACTCAGATCAAGGGGTGGAGTCAGATCAGGGAAAGGGGTGAGAGAGTTATGGGCTGATGCAGCTACATGCAGTGATATATGTAGTCATATGCTATGTCCCTGACATTCAGATTGGCCCACAAAGATACTGTACTGGCACGATCAACAACCTGTCACGTGTCACGTGAAGGTCTTGGATTGAATTGAAAATCAACAAAATTGAATTGATTTATGGCTCCAGTAACTCCTGGAGGCCATGGGAAGAGGTTGTTGGTCGTGCTAGTACAGTAGGCCAATATGGGTCTGATCTGCTAGGAGCCCTAGATGTCAGGTAGAGGGAGGGTGCATGGACACTCCTCCACATGTATGTGGGTTAAAGTCTTGGCAGGTGACTGATAAAAATGGAAGCAGGATTGCATATATACATGCTACCCAGGGAAATCGATGTTATTAAGTTGCCATCATAGTGTTACATGCTACCCAGGGAAATCAATGTTATCAGAGACAGCTAGCCATGTGTTCTGCACTTGCTCCCTGTCCTTACTCCACATTGGTCGCTGCAGGGGCTGTCCTGCTCTGCTCCATATGGCATTATTAAAGAGATACGTTCCCACCACACCACAGCCCCATACCCAACTTCCCAACCCCCTACCCGACCCAACCACCAACCCAAACCCCCAACCACCAACCCAACCCCCCAACCCAACCCATGGGCAATTACTTTCCAGGGATGCATACACACACACACACACACAGCACACAGCACACACCACACACCACACTGCACTCACACACCGCACTCACACACCACACTCACACACCACACACCACACTCAGCACTCAGCACTCAACACTCAACACTCACACTCACACCACACACCACACACCACACACCACACACCACACATCACACATCACACACCACACACCACACACCACACACCACACACCACACTCACACACCACACTCAGCACTCAGCACTCAGCACTCAGCACTCAGCACTCAGCACTCACACTCACACCACACACCACACACCACACACCACACACACACTCCACACACTCAGCACTTGCACACACACAGCCCTTACCCAAACAAATGCATGCCTTGCAAGCTCAGCCAACAAACCACTGTCTCAACCCATGGCAGTTACTCTCTGGGCATACTGTGCTGCTGGATGTGACTGCATGTACAATGCCTCGCAAGCTTGGCCAATAATGTATAGATGTCAGAGGAAGAGGACCCAATCAATCAATCATCATCTAAAAATACATATTCAGATACATCAACATCATATGGGTTTTCATGAAAATCAAGCTGTTCACGTCTAACATTATCTCGGAGCAACATTCCCCGAATCCCACCTTCTGGATTATTGACTTTTTGGAGACGGGTCAGGTCAAATGATGTTCTGAATGCAATTCCCTTGATTGACTTGACCCGTGAGATTGCAACATATGATAATCCAACTGCAAAGTCACTTGGTCCCAAATCAATCACTGCCCTTTCAAGTGTTAGACCTTGACTCTTGTGGATGGATATACCCCATGCAAGTGTAAGTGGAAATTGGGTACGGGAAAGTGAGTGTTTATCCCGAGTCTCCCAGCGTGTAGTGAAGGGGATAATGGGCACAACTGGGCAATCTGGATTGTTTTGAGATAGCCACTTTGCATCCACTGGGCCAGTGTATGTTGGGAAGCATACAAAAACAACCAGAGGGATGTCTTTAGTGGGATCAGCATCTGGTGCATATCCAATATGGTCCACTGTCCCACGAGCACCATTCACAAGACCTGCATTTATATCAATACCTTGTGGGGAAGACCATGTATTTATATGTCTCACCTTTATCTGTCCAAATATTTCGAGTGAGCATGACAGAAGCACCTTCGGCTAGCAAGATCTCACTGTCCAAACCTTCTGCCTCATCTTTTGATGCAGCTGCTGCTCCTGCCCCATGGTTTATTGCCTTGATACAAACAACAGGCTTATTCAATGAGGCTAATCGATGAAGGTTAAAGGTATCAACAAGCTCATTCTGTGGGAGAAGATGAATTTCTGTTGAGAAACCCTCTCTTTCATGCTGGGGGAGGTTAGTCCACATGCGTGGAACCAGAAGCTGGTTGAAATCTTCCAAAGTGACCTCATTGGTTCGAAGACGTTGAAGGAAATCACGGAAATGTGTCTGCTCTCTATCTGCACCCTCTTGGCGGAAGATTTGTTTTAGCGTTATTGACTCAGGGATAGAATGGTAGAGACGATTTCCAATGCGACTGAGGTCATGCTTCAGATTGGCTGTGGTAAATAAAGGGGCTTCACCAACTGGTGGAAGTTGACAAAAGTCTCCAAAGAGGAGCAGGGACATGCCAGCCAGTTGGTTATCTGCTGCTTCAGGAAAGATATCTTTGAGGCGACTGACAATCTTTCCAGCAGTTCTACATCCAACCATTGACTTTTCATCAAGAATGATCAACTTGATGTCCTTCCACCTGTCTTGGAGGCGTGCTTTCCCAGAATTTGTCAACCCTACCCACTTCTTGGCACCAATTCCCAAAGCATAATGGATTGTCCAACCCCTGATCCCAAATGCTGCCACCCCAGTCGGTGCAAGACGCACAACAGGGGATCCTGGAATGCCATATTCAGTAGCTATTTCATTAAGGGATGTGCAAATGGCCCCAATGAGGAAGGATTTTCCAGTCCCAGCACTGCCATCAATGTTAATGTGGAGAGGGTCAGGCTTAGGGTTTATACGGTCCCGAAGGTGCATAAATAGTGCCTTGAAGTATGCCATAACCCGAATGAAGACAATTCTCTGGTTGCCTTTCAGTTTCTGGTATTCAACAGGGGCAAATTCCAATTCTGAACTGCCTCCTTCAATGGCTTTGGCCTCCTTCAGGAAGTTTTCTGCATCCCTCAGTATGTCAATGGGTAGTGAAGATTGGCACCAGTTGTGCTGACGATCCACAGGTCTGCTCCCCAATGCCTCAATTGTAATACCTGGCTGTCGATGGGGCCCAAGTAATGCTTCAAGCTGCCAACCCTCCATTGGGTTAAAACCCTCCTCCTGAGTGAGCTCCTCTAATTCATCTTCATCATCCTGGCCATCCTGATCCTCAGTCCTACTCTGCTCCAAAGAAGGTAGTCCATCATTTAGAAGTTCATGATGGTCTTCAGACCATTCAGACCACTTCTCCACCCAGCAATCCTCATCCTCCAGCCAAGCATCACCTAATTTCCATAGACAATGAAGAAGCAACTTTGCAAAACAAAAGAAGGGATATGTTTCTTCATTTTCAGGGTGTGGGTGTGGGATGGGATACATGATGGTTACCCGTTCCTTTGCAGCATTTGCACGCTGTGGATTCGCACCACGCTCTTTATAGCTTTGATAATCATATCTCCGCAGAAATGCTAAATAGGACAGATTGCCAAGATTATGAGGCCGCAAGCTGTATTTCTCCCTGAGTGTCTTGAACTCTCGTGTTGCATTCTCAAAGTCAAGTGGGAGTGAAGGCCTTGGGAAAAGTGGGACAGATATGTAGGAGCGTGTGGAATGGTGCATCTTCAGGCCATGGAGAAGGTGGCAGACCTCTTGTGCGGAAAAGTCTCGCTCAGTGATGAGGGTCTGAAGTAGCTTCAGATATACCCCTTGCACCCGGTCTGAAGCATTGGACCTGTCAAGGATGGCTTGTAAGACTTCATCATATGTTCGAGATTTGGATTCAGCCTTTGTGACATATTTTGCAGCATATGCCAGAACAGCACTGAAGCTTGTCACGGGACGGAAGTCAATGTTTCCACGCCATCCCAGGATGACAGTATCATTGTAGGAGTTCAGGATTGGGTCATTCCTCCTTGTACAAAGATCAATGATCCCTTTCTCATCCTTGACAATTTTAGTGAGCTCATCAAGGTCCTTTGGGAAGCCAAATCGGCACTGCACTTCCTTTGTGTGTTTGTTTCGTCGCGAACAATATGAGGAAGGGCATTTGGAATGACGCTGAACACGGTTAAGGAGTTCTGCAAGTTCCTTCTGGGTGTCTTCTAGTAAAGTATAGGATAGTTGCGTGTTGATGGGAAAAGGCATGCATATCAGGATTCCAGGTTGACACAATTGGATCCCAGAAAGAAATGAAGTTCTGGATTGACTCCTGATCATCGAGGTCCAAATCATCCACAGGTGGTGCATCCCTCAACCAGATGAAGCCATGGACATGGCTACTCCCCTAAACTGCCACTCATAACTAAGCATTTGATACAAATCAGACAACAGTACCAAGTAAACTGTGCATTGACTTACCGCCACCACATATCAACAATTTGGAACTTTTTTTTGAGGACTAAATCAACAAACAATTCCCATCTCTTCACAAAGTAGTATGCAGCAATGGCAGGATTGTCATTTAAGTCTTCTCGCCTTTTCCGATAGGCTGCCTGCTCCCCAACATCCTGTGATTCTGCCCACTGTGGCATGTGCTGGTGGAGGTCTGGCCATTGGAGGTCTGCAGCTGATGCAGTTATGAATGCATGAGGTGAACGGAGCTGATACATCATGGCGGTGAGTTCACTCTGACGTGCCATCCAAAATGGTTTAGTTCCCGCAAGTTTCACTCCTGATCTGGAGACACGCTTTGCTAGTTCCCTCAGCTGGTCAGGCCCAGCATCTGCCACCATTTCCCTTATCTGCTCAACTGTCCACTGTCGTTCATCTGGGTGAGTGGTAAGATACCATGAAGAGTCTTTTTTGGCCTGAGTGTGCATTATTGTGTTCAATGCCCAATAGCGAAAGCGAGGGTGTTTTGCAAAGCGACCATCCTCATATCGCATGAGGTGTGAAGCCCATTCAGAGAATGAGACTGGTTTTTGACGGGGACTGCAAAAGTCTGCCTGGCCAGAAGGGAAGAGGCTAGGGAAAGCCCTTGAGGCAATAGGATTGTCATGCCATTCACTGATTGGCTGGGACTCAATGTGTGGCATGAGAATAGGCCCTTGTCCTGCCTGTGCTGCCATGCGCAAGTTTTGGAGCTCAGAGACTCGCTCCTCATTCACATTTGGAACAAATCCTGATGTGAAAAGTGCCCTCCCCCCCTCTGCTCCATCAGTCTCATCTCCATTTGATGGCCCCAGGATATCATCTCCTTCATCACCTGCTTCACTGATCCTAATGGACTGTAGGCGGTGCTGGACACTACCACTCTCTGGAAGTTGGGACAGATTCTCCTGGCTAATAATGACATGTTGATATGCTGGGTGATGCTCAACAAGCCATTCTAACCACAGCTGAACAACATGGCGCCAAACATAGTAGAGATGCTGGACATCATGACCAAGGACATGATCTGGACCCTCCCGTTGGATCTGGATGACTTCACACTCCTCAGGAAGGATGGGGAGCAACTGGCGAACTTCAGAAGTATCACGGACAAAGTTGCAAATGTGTCCAGAATACTTCATCTGTCCACCATACACAGTGTGGGCTTGCATGACAACATGAATTGGGGCAAGCAGCATCTCCTCGATCTGTGTGAGCTCCAAAGAAGGATCGTCCACAATGAACTGTGGCTTGCAGCCTGGGTCCATGGAATTTGCTGCTGTATACTTGATCGCATCCTTTCTGCACTTCGCACAATGTCCATCCTTGACTTTCAAGTCAAACCATGTCTCATGGCAAGCATCACAGTGTTCCATTTGAACCTTCATCAGCTCTTCTCGAAACTTTTTTAACAGAGCACGATCATTGGCGGATACTGCAGATGCAAATCCTCTCATCAAATCTTCATCATTGAGCCCTTGATCCCACTGTGAATCTGATAGGTCTGGAGGTGAGGATGAAGGCAGAGGAGATAATGGCCTAGAGGGTGCAGGAGAAGGTTGTTCCTGTGATGAAATGGGAGATGAGGGGGGAGGTGAAGATTGATCCACCATTTGCTCCTGGGCTGCTTTTTGGCGAGCCTCCTTGTACCTGCGATCAGTGTCAATACATCTCCGACACCTGTTCCTATCTCCATCAAATGCAGAGACAGGTGCATTATGGCCACGATTGCATCTTTGCATTGGCTCTGGAGAATTATGAACTTGAACGGAATCTTGAGATGATTCATGATGATGACTTTGAGGCACAGATGAAGGCCCAGGAAGGGAGAAAGGCTCAAGAGGCCCAGAGGGTGAATACATGCCAACATCAGCTCCACCTTGAGCTGGAGACCCAATACGAGTCCTCTGGTGCTGTCTATGTGTCTCTTCAGGAGTATGTGAGAGACGGTCAGAGTGAAGTCGAGGACCAGCAGAGCTTGGTGGAGTGATTTCTGTGTAGAAAGTTATTCTGTGTATTCTACTGAGAACTGAATACAACATACGTAGTGTATTCCTAGGAATTTCAGGGGTTTCAGACCCAACCTGAGATTGGACATCCAGTTGTTGAAGGTCAAGGGCAAGCTGTGTCCCAATAGATGGATTTCGATTATGTTGGGATCTCTGTTGAGATGTCCCAGAAGAGTTGGGTGGTTGGGAGGGCCCAGCAACAGTTGATTGAGAATGGATTTGAGTGAGTGGTGTATGTAGCGATCCTTGGCTAGCTGCACGATTCAGCTTCTTCCTCTCATTTCTTCTCCTCATCTTCTCTGCACGGAGGATCTCATCCTCAGTTGGCATCTAAAAATTTATTTAAATTAACTCCATAAGATGTTAATTATAAATATTCTTGCACCCACAGCTTCAATGTGCACACAGTATAAACAGAAAAGGCCTCTGCAAAGGCAATATGCCCTATTACAGGCAAATTGAATAAATTTCCTATTGTGAAGCAGGGAACAGGCTCGCTGCACAAGTTGCAGTAAGGAGCAAGGCTGACGTATTTTCCAAAAGGAAAAAAGGGGCCAGGAATCCCTACAACTTGTAGGCTATGAGAGGTGCTGGTCTTAAACTGCTGAACTGATCCCAGTCTGTGCGGGCTAACACAGGGGCTGGGGGACAGGGGTCGCACTTCAGTAGACCTTTGAACCCTATGGATCTGCTCCAAATAGTACTACTTATACAAAATCCTAAGCCCAGGGCACTTAAGGCTTTGCAGAAAGGGCCTGAGAGCCAGTAGCAAGGAGTTGCAGAGAGGGAGAGAGAGGGCTGCAGCTTGCGCGCGTGTATGTAGCACAGCCACAATATCACGGGTGAGCCATCCCTCTTATGTTGATAAGGTTAAAAGGCTACATAGAGCCTAAGTTTCCCTCAAAGTTAATAAATATATAGTTTAAATGATTGTTATGATTATTATGTATTTATTAACATACAACACTGCAAGTGTTGCCGCAATATTTTGTGGCACACACATTGCACGGATGAGATATACATTTGGATCCGATGTTGCACAGATCCCACGGGGTGGCCATTTCTCACGGGGTGGCCATGGGGGGGTGGGATTACACTTTCACACGGTATATTCCCACGAAAAAAAAACTAACCCCTCTGTAAACAACGCCTCGCAAGCTCGGCCAATTAGAGCGCCCTTCAAGGTTGGAGTATCTGCCAATACCAATATCGCTATGTGGCCTGAAGAAGACAGTCAAGGATAAGGTGCCATCCACCCTTGCCAACATTGCTGCAGCGGAACTCGAAGTGGCGAAATGCACGGATTCGACAACTAATCTCCTTGATGTAAATCCTGAAGAGCGCAAGGAGCGACTCAGAATGGCATTTCCGACACGAGGGTCAAAAACCTCAGCGTGAGGCAGGAGCAAGTCTGACCATTTCAGGTGGAGAGGCATTGCTTGTGCATTTGCCCGGTGCATCGTGACTTTTCTCAAGAAAGCAGTGATCCACAAGGCTACGGCACTGGGAAGCTGGCACAGGCGGTCGGAAGACGATGGCGAGGATTCGATACATTCGTATCTCTATCTTTCAATTTTCTGCTCAAGGCGCGGGATATTGCACTTGCTCACGCGACTCCCCTTCGTCCGCCGCACAAATGCCAACATCCAAGACTGAACAAGAGCGACGTCCGGTCATGAATAGGGGTCCTCCCATTTGTCTTTCCACCCTGTCTTCAACTCTTGTCATGAGGCCTTTGTCTGTAGACGCAAAGACATACACTTTAGTCAGAAGCCTTTTCATGGCGTCTGCTTGAGTTTACGACAAGGAGAAGGGACGAGTTGCTGCGATCGACGAGTATTTGTTCCCCCTTTTTGGCGACACATTTATGTCGACTAGGCAGGACTCCAGCCTCTATGACTTCGTAACAATATTCCGTCGACGTACCCGGGGTCAAGCCTGATGAAGTTTTATTCGAATACTGCATAGCACATGTGGCAATGCGGGGAGTAAAAAATGAAATTGGAACAGGCAGCATAGATCCTTACGGTGTCCAAGTGTTAGAAAATGCTAAACGCGCGAGTGTGACCCATGGATGGTGTGGAACCATGCATTTTCCCACGGTGCTTTCCCACTCCCTTGTGTAAACTCTGTGCGTCTGTCTTGTTATCCCGCGACTTCATTGATGGCTTTCCCTACTCTATACACCGTGCGTACGAAAGGGAACTCTGGAAACAAAAGCCTCAAGCTCGGCCAACCACCTGACCTCCTACGTGTTTTTTTTATATTTGTGCCAAAGTCCGACCCACAAAGCTGGCGGATACTGTTATCTCCCAAAGCTCCCTTGGGTCATTTTGGAGGAGGGCATCGACTAGTGAGCTCGCATCTTATTTGTTCAGCGATCTATGCTTGAGCGACACGACAAAGCGAGGAAATCCACCGAAGAAATATCGCAGTGAATGAAGCACTCTTAGCGTCCCTGGACTTGAAAGATGCTTCTTATTCCTTTGGGATGTTGCCCGTTCAGCTTTAAAAAATCAAAACTTCAAGGGAAACCGAACGGGCCCGTCCAGTCCGGCCTCGGAAGGCGGAGAAAGCGAAAAAGGAGAACATGTCTGTTCCTTGAAGTCAGTCCTCCAGACTTGCCCATCTGCACGCCAGCCCGGATGACACACCCACACAAAGGCTGCTTAATACGTCGTACGCTCGCCACTTACTCGAATGATCGCGTCAGGCGCGTATCTGGCGTGCCATTGCTTCTCTCTTTGTTGTAGGCCAAGCTGGAAACAAAGAGGAAGAGAGGCTTGCGGTGCTAGAGCTCGGCCGCGTAGCGAAGCATCCGCGCCATGGCAATCCGTCTCTGGACGATCTTGTCAGTGACGAGGACGACACAAAGGAATCAATCTCGTCATTGAGGGGCACACTCGGAGCTGCTTGCAAGGACGTACATTCTGTCGAAGCACGAATAAAGAACTCTCGAAATATTCTCAGCTACGGGGCAGCGATCCTGATATCAATGATCTTAGGAAAAGACTCACCCGCATGGTCGTGCGATCGCGAGCCGAGGATACGAGGGAGAGGGTTTATTCCATGGCTTACCACCTGGAGCAAACGAAAGATCTCAATGTCTTGCATCAAATTCGGCCCGACCGATGCTCTTGGTGTAAAGGCGCGTGCGGATGGGAATCACTGAGCTTATTCAGTTACACAGGTTTTTAGACATCCTATGATTTCCACGCTGCGTGTGACCTCCTTTACATCTGGGCAATCTACTGAGCTCTTTTCTCTTGCCTCGACTTCGACACTGGTCACATCCTTTGATATCGCGCCATGTGGGAATGAAATATGGATCTCCGACAGTGACGGTGGACTAAGCTTGTTTGGACCTCCGGGAAGGCAGCCGATTACGGGGACAAGTGAATGCTAAATTAAAGATTGATTGTGTCAGCATCAATCCTGCTGCTGGAAGGAGAAGGTGTCATCCTTTGTGCACCGCGAGCAACGATCTTTCCCTGAAGTAAGCGTCAGCAATGCTGCTAGTGCTTTGGACTTAACTTACGGCAGAATATGGGACGTTCGAAAGCTTGAAACTGGTGCACTTGTTGAGGGTGATGATGACGGCTCCAGCTCGCTTAAAGTGAAACCGCCTCCTGTCCTAGAAGCAGATCACGAGGCTGTCGCAGATTTCCTTTCATCAAAACCTGGTCGGGGCTGTATCCTCGGGCAATTTGAGCATAAACACTCTGTCAGCTCTGCTTTTTGGAGGGAGGAAAATGCTATGATGATAATTTGAGAAGTCAGTTTTATTCATATCCGGAGCCACCATTTCTCACTGACCTGCACGGAATAAGTTTGGAATCTAGATGCTTGGCTCTCATCGGGGGAGAAATTAAAGTTTCCCCAACCAATACAAAAGCTCGTAACTGTCAAACTGGACGTTGGTTGACGGTGCTGAAAGCTCAGTGGAGTCAGAATCCGTCCCACTTCACTGTTAATTCACACAATATCCCCAGAATGACTGATGTCGAACGTTTTCTAGGTCGGATCGATGGACCATTCATTAGATATCATTGCGTACAACGGAGAGGAGATCGGGAAGCTCGCTGATCGCTGAAAGTGATGATGTGGTTCTCCGAGTGTGGTACTCTGGCCAATTGTAATTTCTTACTAAACGTACGCCAGCCATCCCTAAACGCAACACTGCATCCCGAACGGACCAATCGCAGCGGCTGATACTGTACGCGCGATGGAACTCTGGAAGCCTTGATGTCCTGGTTATATAGGTTTTCCTACTCCGGCTCGAAACGTTGGGATCATCGAGTCGATGTGCCGAATTAGCCTGATTGTCAGCCACAACCTCTCTCGATACGTTTCTATCCAGCAGTGTACCGATCTCTGTCGGTATCAAGTCCAGATTCCAATGCTATCACCCTACTGTTGGGCCACATCACCTACTCACTATAATTGATGCCAGATGGTAGATCAATCAGAGACACATTGCGCGCCTTCGACCTAGAATTGGATTACCCTCTAACACTGTCGACGTCTGAATCCTACTGAGAGTTAGGAGTGTCTTCTTGTGGGCCGGGTGGTGCCTGGAATAGGCATTGCGTTGCTCATTGCAAGCCATATTCACATGGAACCCCACTTTGCCATCTACCCTTATGTAAAGGGCCGGTCTCCAAATTTGACAAAGTCTCATTTCTTGCCGAATAGCCGAATTCCGCCGCTTGAGTGATGTTCAACTCGATTTGGACACGCATTACGTAGCCCAGCGACGTGGTGCCACGACATCACATCACCCACCCTTGGCCCTCACGCACTACGTACTACTTCGTACCTTCCCGTTACGTGGCACTCATGATGCCCGTACGAAGCGGAAAGATCGATTGATAACATGTAACCGCGCGGGAGTATAAGTAGCCAAGGTAATAACGAAATACCAGAGAAAGGAATAGTGAATAAGACATGATACGCGCTGCTACACGTGAAACACGTACTGTAGCGTTGCGTGGAGATAAAGACATGGTAAAAATGGTGCAACGATATAAGCTTGATAGGCGTATATATACTGGCGCGTCGTCGTGGCATGCATGTCGTCCAACACCACTACCTCGTATTAACTCTTGCTCATTACCGGGTCGTACACCAATAGACAATCTTCATTTTTCCATTTTCATTTTTTCACGCGTTGCAGTCGTGAGCTTCACACGTTCCATTATCTTTCCTTGGTTCTGTCCCGCGTTTAGGAGATGATGGTGCTGGCGCTAACCGTTGGGTGCCATCTTTCTTCACAACTGGCTTGGCGATCATTGTGTTTCGATAACAGTCCTTTGTCGGTTTTACATCAAGTCGAGAGCTGAGTGCGAATTCAACTCCAGTGCGGCCACATACTGTGCTGGATAGGGAACGCAGCGAATCAGGCTTTGGAGTCCCGAGCTAGTTTCCGAGTGCCAATTATAATTAACTAGTTGGGACGTCGTGCGGCCGCGGTGGTGTTCAAGTTGACGCTACAGCTCCACGAGCCTGGAACCAGTGACCGTGGGACATGTACGAACCATCACTACTGCTGTAATGCTGTGGACCTTATAAAGCGCTATCTAGAACGTTGGCCCCTAACCAAAAGGGAAAGGAAATCGGTTGCGGAGAACGATTTCAGCCGGACTTGAACAAAAAGGCCTCCGTTCTTTTGATCAACGTGCACAATGCCAGCGCCCGGCCACTTACCGGCATCTTACTAGTATAGCTCGTGTGAAAGCTCATGGCTGCACTCCTGGACCCGGATGGAATGCTCCACTGACGTGACGCACATACGTCGCGAACGCGTGCCCTGGCACCGTTTACCGCCGGCTCACTGTACGAAGCGAACGCCGTGACCAGTGCCTCGGTATGACGCCCCCACAGTCCTTTATCTAATTCTCATTCCTAATCACATTCATCCTGCTTCCAGTTCCAGTCAGCGCTATAATACTGGCTCTCGTGCAGTAGACTTACAGGAATGTCATCATCCGCACCAATTGCCTAGCTAGTCCGGGTCATGCCACCGCTAGAATTCGCCACTGATAGCACTGGATCGACCAAATAGTCAATACATATATCATATCCTTCCATAATCAGACGGACGCCTCGTGGTTCTAGCTTTTGGGTCTTTAGGGGCTTGCACGTGCGTTGCGCGCCCAAGCTCTCTCTCCTCCATCCACTTGTCCGCTATCAACCATGTCGCTGCGGGAAAAGGCTGATGATCTCAGGAAAACGATCGATAATCTCCTCGTGGTGGGAGTTGACATGGCGGTTCCAATTCTCAGGGTCGTCAATGCTACCGCTGATTGGTGTCCCCCTCTAAAGATGGCGACTGGCGGTGCACTCTCCATCTTCGACGAGGCTAAAGTTGGTATTGATTCAAGCTTGATTATGAATGAAAGCTCACGCTAGTTTACCCCACGTAGAAGTTCAAGGAGGACAAGGAGCAATGGATTGGTTTTGGTGAATACGTGGCTAGCGCTACGGCGAAGGTAGTTTCAGCCATAAAGTCTTATGATATGTCAGTGGGGGAGGCAGGGTCATGGGTAGAGGGTGTCGCGGAGCTTGGGAGGTACGTTGTATTGGTTTTGGTGGTTTCCGATATTATACTTATGTCCAGTACCAGCGCGCTACAGGAGATCCAGTCTAAAATCCAACAAAGACTTACAAAATTGGAGGAACGGTCAGCTGTAAGGAATGCACTGTCCCACTATCGAGACCCTGGAAGAATTGAGGGCCTGAAGAAAGATTTTGACAAAGCGTTGGCATTATTTCAGGTAGCTTTCCTCATGGCATTGTCCCCTAATCATTCTAATCTTCGGACGGTGCAGCTTAGGACGAATTTAACAATTGGTGTCAAATTATCGACCATAGAGGACAGCTTAGACCGTCTGGAGGGTGCGATTGAAGTTAAAGTGTCGACCATAGAGGGCAGCCTAGACCATATGGAGGGTGCGATTGGCGTCAAATTGTCGACCATGGAGGACAGCTTAGACCGTCTGGAGAGTGACCCAATCCTCGATAATCTCCGATATCCTCAAATCGCCCACCATGATTCGACAGAGGCGTGCCTAGAAGGTACCAGGGTCGATCTCACGGAGCGTATTATGAACTGGTGTCGTAACACCGGGGATAACGAGAACCGGCTGATGCTACTGACCTCCGTCGCTGGCGCTGGAAAGACTTCGATTGTGCACACGATTGCAGATAGATGTAACAGGGAGGCTGTCCTATTGCTATGTTTTTTCTTCAGAGCAGGCGAACAGCCACGGCCGGACTGTTTATTCAGCGGCATTGCACGAGCTCTAGCAAGCCGTGACACAGATTACCGTACCTTCATTATCTCTGCCCTTCGAAGAGACCCCACCCTCTCGACAGCTCCATTTGCGATGCAGTTCCAGGAATTGGTGGCTTCACCTCTTCTCCATATGCGTCGGTATCCGAGCCATCCTATGGTGGTCATTATCGATGCTTTAGACGAATGTGATGAAGAAGCGTATCAACCCCTTGCTAAGATTCTTTGCGAAAACAAAGCACAGAAAGTACAAAAACACCTTAGATCATGAGGGAAAATCTGAAATAAATCATGGAAGCCTTACACCTGCATGTACAATAAATTCTGAACAATTAACATGTGATTACCGAATGTGCACATGAACTTTGCTAACTTAACAAATACCGAGAGTTAGAGTACAACTTTAGTACCATTAGAAAGGTTGGAATAAATGAAGATTTATGATGCTGAGAACGTGAAAAACCATTCAGAAATGAATGAGATACAAGGACATGAAGTTAGTAACCTGAATATGTGTGGGAAGACAGCTTCTAGAGGTCCTGAGCCCCAAATAAAATACATAAAAATATGATATCTTTGAGGACAACCTATTATAACAACAAACAATACATAGGACTAGGATGAAATAATACAAATGGGAATCAGGGGAGATGGACAAAATCCACAAAATCCACCAAACTATGATGGACCATGGCAGGAATTTTAGGGAACGATATACTAATAAAGCAGAGAGCTATAACACATTCGTTTGATCAATTCTTAACTATCAGCAACTTTTCCTTTCAGTTCTAAACCTGAACAATTCACTCATTTATAATTTCAAGTCACATTTCAACTAAATGTCACTGGACAAAAATATAATAAATCAGCTGAAGGTCTCAACACAGCTGTATGCACAGTAATGCAAAGTTTGAATTCAGAATGACTGAGTCATAGCAAACTTAATGGTAAATAAGAGGAATTTGAAATAGAAAACTGTGACAAATGCAGCGCAGTCAAGTTCTAATTAAACTGTTAAAATAGCTTAGGCAAGGAAGGACAATAAGGATTCTAGGTGCAGTCTGACTGCAGCAAAGCTGCAGTTCAGCGCAGCTGAGTGCAGTAGAACTATAGCGTGAAAAATTCATTTTTAGGAAAATACACTGTAAATAAATTCTGTAAATACGAGGTAGAGTGTGAAAAAGGAAGGCAACCCAAGGAGTATAAAAGGGAGACCCTTTCTGCGACTTTTTGCCCCCCCTCATAGAAGTAAGAAAATAGAGTATTATTTTTCTCAAGCATTTCTGGTTGTCACTCCAGTGCGAAAAAGTGATATACAGTTGAGATTGCCACTGTAGTAAAAGGCAGCAATTAGGGAGAGGAATATTAAGTAAATATTTCAACAGGAGAGCTGGTTAACACTCCAGATTTCAAAGTGTGGACACAAAACAGTTTTAATTTGTGTCACGGCCCCGCAAAGTCCCCGCCCCTCTACCACTTCCGCACCCCCATTCTTACGCCGTTACTCGCGCCCGTTAATCTCGCCATTGCCCATCACTTAGCGGCGCCGATAGTGGTTCCCGTTCTACGGCCCCGTAGCAGCGCCTCCTTCGTTTTCCCGCCACCACTTGGGTTCCTCAACCATTCGGCCGGTATCGTTTTATTCTATTCACTCGCTTAACTAACTAGCGGTTGTTATGGTCGCCGTTGATCCGCTCCTTATGGACATTCCTTATTGACAATTGATTATTCCTTTATCGATATTTGATTTATACGTATATTGACATTCTGATCCGCGCGCCTAGATTGTCGGCTTATCCTTTCTGCCTCCCAACTTCGCCGTTCTCTGTTCCATTCATCTCTTCTGTTCCATTACCCTGGTCCTCATCGCTCTTTAGTTCTGTCGTACTTATCATCTCGTTCCCGTCCCGCGCCGGACCGACCGGCCCCTTCTCTGTTCTCCTTTCCTATTTATACTTGTAGTTTACTGTCGATGTACCTCAGTTCGAATATCGACTAGAATTCCCCCCAAGTACTTTCATCTTAAGTTCGCCCCTCAGCTTCATCCCGCTTAAGTCAACGTCGCCGCAAGGTCCTTCCCGCTAACGTGAAATACGGGACAGCCTAGAACGCGTGGCGCAACGCTCTGGCAAAGTCGTTGAAGCCGAAGTCCCAACCCCCTCGACGCCTTGCAACGGAGTAGCTCATTAGCTAAGTGACCACTTACGCCGCCGTACTCCGCCCCGCTTCCCGCGATCCCCTCGAACATAGTTTCTGACAGTATATTCGAACTGACTGCGCGTTCAAATGGCTTCTAGACACTACGTGACTCGTTCGCAGACCCGCGAGCCATCCACCTCCACACAACAGCACCAATCTGGTCTCGGGATTCCTGACGACTACGACCTCGACATCGACACACCCTTCGCTAGCTTCACAGCTGACCGCGGAGGCCAACGATCGTCGACGCCTGTTTTTACAAGGTCCCGATCTGAGGCTGAAGTGGAAGGCGATGTCGACGCCACCGCAGTTCCCGACCCTTCCGCACCTCGTCCTCCGCCATCTTCGTCAAGGCCGCCACCACCAGTTGATCCAGTTGTTCCGCCCCCTGATGGTCCTGTTGGTAACAACCCTGACCCCGATGATCCTACTAACGTGCAAGACGAGGCAAGCATCCTGATTCAGCTAACTCGAGCCATTGCGGCTCTCGCCCAATCCAACGTCCCTCGTCAGCCGCCACCTCCGCCACCTCCGCCACCTCCACCCGCCTCGATTGACAATTATCGCACGAAGGTGCGCGAGCCTGACCAGTTTGATGGGTTGGACCAAAGAAAGCTCCGTACGTTCCTAGTTCAGTGTCAACTAAATTTCCGGGATCGTCCTCAGGCGTTTAGCTCCGACCGTAAGAAGGTTATCTATGCTCAGTCGTTCCTAACGGGCTCCGCGCTCAACTGGTTCGAACCCGATCTCTTACGCGCGCCTGGTGGTCGAGCACCTCCCTGGGAAGACGACTGGGAACGCTTCATTGAGGAACTCCGCAAAAACTTCGGTTCACACAATCCCGCCCGCGACGCGGAGCATCAATTAAAAAACTTGGTCATGAAGGACAACCAAAGGATTAGTAAATACATCGTTGAGTTCAACCGTTACGCTTCACAGTTACGCGGATACGGTGAAGGCGCGCTTCAATCTCTTTTTTATGATGGGATGCCTGATCGCCTTAAAGATGAGATCTATCGATCTGGTAGGCCTGATTCGTTGTGGGATCTTCGGGATCTTGCGCAGGAACTTGACACCCGTTACTGGGAACGCCGCCTAGACAGCGTACGACCCTCCCGCAACAACGCCGCCTCTCCCTCCGCTCCGTCATCCTCTAAGCCCGCCAAATCTGACGGCAACAAGAACTCTTCGACCTCGTCGTCTCTTCCTTCCTCCACTTCCGCCTCTGGTAGTAAGGCGCCTAAGGACAAGCCGTCCGGCGCTAAGCCTACTTCCTTCACCTCCGACCTTTCGACAAAACTCGGCAAAGACGGTAAGCTCACTCCGGAAGAGCGTCAACGCCGAGTCGACAACAAACTCTGCCTCTTCTGTGGCAAGCCTGGCCACATGGCAAGAGACTGTCGAAAATCGTCTTCCAACGCGACTAAGGCCCGTCAGGCGATCGCCGAGGTGCCCGACGCCGAACTCGACGCCTCTGACGAGGCAAAAAACTAGTCGCCGATCTTTCGAGTCCAGCACTCTCGAATGGTCGTAACAATCGCGAAAGTGCGCTTCGAGTGGTTCGCCTTAACGCGTCCGCTCTTTCCTCCAACTCTCTTTCCGTTCCTATTTCTTTTGTGTCTGATTATGGTCGATTTCCATCTCCAAAGGGGAATGCCCCTGGCTCTCCACTTGTTTCGCCTTCAAAGGGGTATGCCCCTGGTTCTCATTTGTTTCCTGATTCAAGGGGGAATGTCCCCGGCTCAAAAATATTTCCTCCTTCCACTGTTTCTTCTTCTTCTTCGTCATCGGAATCCGCCTATGTCGCCGCCGCTCTACCTGGAGGGATTTATCCCGCCTTAGTGGACTCCGGTTCATCCGATTGTTTCGTAGATAGTGCTTTTGTTAATCAGAACCGTCTCGAAACCTACTCTGTTGACCCGCTTCAACTCCGCCTGTTTGATGGCACTACTAATAACCTTATTACGCAGGCCATCAACCTTCCGCTCCGTTTTCCGTCCGGTGTCGTCATCCTGTCGACTTTCTACGTCACTCCGCTAGATGGCACGTGTGTTCTGGTACTTGGGCATAACTGGCTCGCCCGCAACAATCCGTCGATTGACTGGGTATCGAGTAGTATAACCTTCCAAGCGCCGACACAACCCCACCTAGAACCTATAAGCGCTTCCGCTGAACCTCTGGATCCCGATCCGTCAGTAAGCATTCCGTCTGTAGACACACCGCGACCATCCGCTAGCCATGCGCCGCCTATCGAGCTTGTCAGCGCCGAGGTTTTCACCAAGGCCTGTCGACTTGAAGGCTCGGTAGCGTTTGCCGTGAGCACTTCTGTTCTATTCAGTGAGCTGCGTGCTGCAGCTACTAATCCACCTATCCCTTCCGAGCCTATCGACCTCTCAGCCGTACCAACGGCGTACCACGAGTTTGCGGACGTCTTCAGCAAGAAGAAAGCCAACACGCTTGCGCCGCACCGTGAGTTCGACCTAAAGATCGAGCTAGAGGAAGGTACGCAACCACCACTGGGTACTTTGTACTCTCTCTCTCCTTCTGAACTTGAGGCCCTACGCACCTTCCTCGATGAGCACATGGCGTCGGGATTCATCCGCCCGTCATCCTCCGCCCACGCCGCCCCCGTGCTCTTCGTCCGCAAGAAGGATGGTTCCCTCCGTCTTTGCGTCGACTTTAGAGGCCTCAACAAGATCACGAAGAAAGACCGCTATCCACTTCCACGAATTTCTGACCTCCTAGACGCCCCAAGCCGTGCCCAAGTCTACACGAAGCTCGATCTCCGGCACGCCTACCACCTGGTACGCATCGCCGCTGGGGACGAGTGGAAGACCTCATTCCGCACGCGCTACGGCTCCTACGAGTGGCTTGTAATGCCCTTTGGTCTGTCAAACGCCCCTGCGGCGTTTCAGCGGTTCGTGAATTCCGTCTTCGCTGATCTTCTCGATGTGTGTGTGGTAGTCTACCTTGACGACATTCTTATCTACTCCGCTGACATGGCCTCACATGAGGAACATGTTCGCGAGGTCCTGCGTAGGCTCCGCATTCACGGCCTGTTTGCCAATCCACAGAAGTGTGAGTTCCATACTGACACGA